TTTATATTTGTAATAGTATGCTTACTATGTAAAGATATCAGCCTCCCTGCTAGCATGTTTATATTTGTAATAGTATGCTTACTATGTAAAGATATCAGCCTCCCTGCTAGCATGTTTATATTTGTAATAGTATGCTTACTATGTAAAGATATCAGCCTCCCTGCTAGCATGTTTATATNCATGTATATGTATTCAATTTAAGACAATAGCTCTCTTTAATTTAATATCTTACAAGTTTAGAAACCTGATTTAAATGCAGCTTTTACATCAACTATGGTATTTTATGAAAGTAACTGCAATAGGCTGGATGTTTCTACCAAGTGATCAAAAATGAGTTGTTTCAACATACATTTGATTTAATTAATTGAGTTGCATAACTAAAACCCATTGGATACTCAACGTCTTTAAAGTCAAACTTCACATGTATATAAATAGCGGGAATGACCTCCAGAGTCTACTAGTGGGATTTGTTTTCCCTGTCACATAAACATTGGACATACAACAGTTACCATTCAATCTAAAGTAAAACAATGTGCATCTATATCATCAAAACTAGTGCAGTCAATATAACATTTATCATCTATGTGATATGGTTAACAATAAAATCTAAAAATAAGCATGCAACAATGACCTACAAAATCTATTATAAACAAAAAAGCACCATGATTATGACAATTCAGCTGTACAGGTTTTAACTGTTTTGTGCACACGTCAGTAAGAATTCCTCTCTTTAATGGCAAGGCCCTATCAAATGTCTAAGATGGTCAAATTTCTTTTTTGTACATTGAAAGTCAGGATCTATTTAGCATAAGAAATTGTTTTAAAATTGTGTTTGCTATTGTGCGAAGCTAACGAATCACACACACACACATGTATTTATATATATATCAAACCTACAATGAAGATGTCAAAATTGGTTGATTACTGTTTTAAATTCTCAATTAAGTTGATGCTCACCTCTATAAAATTTAATTTTTCATTTCTTAATTTGGATATGGTGTTTTCCACAAAAGGGCAAAAGATATCTTGACAAATGCTACTAGAACAAAATAACTTCATATATAGTGGCATACCTCAGTGTGAATTGCTATTCCACAAACAGAAAAACCTGTACAAGAAGCTAGTGCCCTCCCTAAATCTCTATTGCCAGATCTTATTGTGTATATAATCACAAAGTAAACAGGAAAATATAGCACTAACATACAAAAAGAACAATACAATATAAGTAAATGCTTTAAAACAATTCATAATGTTAACCCCATACAGCATTTATTTTAAAACACAATCTACTAAAGGAGACTAACATATATATTAAACATGGGTTCCTACTATTCTTGACAATACTTTATGATTGAAGATTTGTACAATAATATATTTCTAGTATCAAAACATTTTACAATTTTTCATAATAGTTTGAATATTGATAATTAACTTTGCACTAACGGTAAGCCAACATAAATAGCTTTCTTGAATATGAATTTGTCAGTGACTTGCTTGCCTTGTTTTACATTAAAATATAACCCGCTTCCCCTAGCCTAAATGTGTTGCCTTTCAAAATATATATAAAAAAAAAAGGAGGAATACCTTCCCAATTTCAATTAAAAAAATGTTATAGGCTGTCGGTAAATTTAGGTAGAAAAAAACCCACTACTATGCGGTATTTGATCAACATAGGGTTATTGCATTGAATTTAAAGTTTTTCAGAATGCAATAATATTCTCAATAATGATATCAAACTGTTCCTATAACACAACAAGTCTGATAAAAATGCTCCAATGACCAAAAATAGCATAAACCCACATTTAATTGTGTGTACAAAAAAGACAACAAAACCTATACAACATCATCCTGTCGATCAATTACAGTACCTCATTACAGCTGCAGGATCATAAACACATTTGTTACATTTGTTGTAAAAGAATTTTCATCAGTTATTGAAAAAAAAGAAATCATATGATAGATATTTTAGCAAATGTGAAAATCAAATGTGAAAACTGAAAGATTGTGGAGAGTTGATGTTCGAACCTCACAATAACAGTAGATACAACTTGTTTTCTATAAAATGAAAAATTCTTAGAAAAATGGCTGTCCTTCGAATTCGCTGGTTGCCATGTTGCTTTTCAACTTTTTGTCAAAATGGTTATTTATATGATAGGTATGTGTAATAAGTTTCATGATAACATCACATGGAAACAATTTGTGCCGACAATGCCAACAGAGTGAACCTTTGATGTCGTCTTTGCTTTTTGAGGCAACACAAAAAAATGTTGCAACAGTTTTCTGTTAACGCATTCACAGGTGATTACCTAAAATAATAAAATTGGACCTCTACAGTGTTAATTATCCACTAATGAAAGTACAGGTTAAGTACTATTGTGCGAAACTAGCTGTCTTGATATGAATCAGTCCAAACAGTATATATTATGTTTGTACATTTCTCTACATATAGTATCACGATTAGAAATAATACATTTGTAACAAAGAGCAACATAATTTGAGGATGATGTTCAAGTTGATTTTAAAAGGATAAACAAAATGGTTTTCAAAAGTTATTTCCCCTTAGTCATTCACAAATGTTTTATGCAGTCCATTCGAATGGGGAAAATGTATTCCAATATGAAACTCCTGTCATCCATGCTAACATATTATGACAAGTCTTATAATTATTTTACTTATTTGACAGTGTGGAGAATAATCTAGTGGTCTACACAACATGTAAATCTGTTCATTGTGTTGTGTACACAATACTCAGAAACGTTACCTCTTCCAGCGCTAGTATATACAGAGATATATAGGTGAACTCCACCAACACAACACTTAGATATATCAGTCTAGGTATAAACAGGACTTTCAATAATTTGTTATTCTAACAACAGTATCACGAGTATGTACAATACATCTGGTATGTTACAATGCATGAAAGTGTATCCATTTTTACAAAAATTAGCCATATTTTGTTTCAAAGTAAACTTATTATCTAACCATTTTGTTCGCAGCAGTCTTGTGCCTTTTAAGATGTTGCAAAAAACATAACAATCGAGAATGGCTGTGATTTTCAACGTTAGGAGTAATCATTCTTTCGTGGGGAAAGCATGCAAACAGCAAGCGTTGTGACCAAAATTCAAAATATATCCACGATGGTATTTATTGTTTCATTTCACGTGTACAACTAAATAAACCCCACATCATAGCAGTGTCTTTAACAATACCGTAATTTTAACAAAACACCAATATACACAAGAATTATACAATCACATTATTTCTTACAAGCATATTTTTGTTATTTAAGGCAACCTTTTGCAGGTTTTATAAGTATCAAACTTACATTATACAGCAATATAATGTCTTTATGTGTATATAATTATTGAAGATGGGGTTCAAGGTGCTAAATTTACTTCTAAAACAGGTCATTATAAATGTCTTAAAAATTCCTTTAATAGTATTTACAGGTACATGTACATATATATATGCAACAGGCCATATATATAAAAATGTCTGTGAAATTCATTCATAATTACATGTAACCGTTGTTCATAGTTATAATCTATAATCAATCTTTGACCAGCAAATCGTAATGAGGAAGAGCCAGATACATACATATGTATATTGTGTATGTATATTTGACATTAAAACATTTAAAGTGTATAATATTATATCTTTATTCTATATATTATCCTGCTGCATGATATCAATCTGGCCATGGAAAAAGATAGAATTTTAAAACACAACCTTTTGACCATTGAAAAGAACATTAACACACGACTTAGGACATTTTGGTACCAAAACTAACTAAAAACAGTAAATACCAAACTACCTATTCGCATTTAAGAAGCTGTAGTACAGCTGAAACAAATCATCTCCACCATTCCATTTACAGTAACACTAGAAGTCTAACAGCAACGTCTAACAGTAATCCGAGTATAGTTTGTATATAGAAGGGAGGCAACTCTGATAAAATGAGGGAGGATACAGAAAGATGGGAGGCAACTGATTATCTGGAAATACTAAGCAAAACAGTATTAGTTGTGTCAGTTTCATTTCTTTGTCAAAACAATTATTGGTACCTGGTATCTAAATTCAATTTGATGTTTTGTTGTTTAATATCACATTTTTTTAAATTTCCAATATTGCTTAACCTCGATAAATGGCCATGATTACTCCTGAATTCTTACATCCTATCAATATGGACCAAAGCCATATATACTAAAACATTGGTGTATGAGAGGTTTCTTCTGGACCTTATTCTCATAAGACATATTATGATAACAAATGTAGAATAACTTATGATGAACACAATCTAAAATCAACATTTAATATAAAACCAATAGTTATTGCAAGAGACAAAATATCGTTTCTCAGTATTACATATTTTTATCAATGATTACTTTCAATTAATTATTTCAGAAAGTATACTCACTGCACATTTCTCATATACTGCTAACAAAAAATGTGCTCAAGGCAAAATTAGGAATCCTTTAAATTAACCTAATTTTATCGGAGGATTTCTTTTTTAATTTGAAACAAAAATCTGAAGGACATGTACAGAACTCTGTGTGATATATTATGCAAACCATACATTGGATGACATGTTCGTATTTAATATTATGATATATGACCATTATGGAAAATCATTTAAATCCTGTAATACATTTATTTTAATACTTCTTCATTTTAAACCTGATTTTCAACTCAAACCTTTATTAATATAGTTTATTGCAAAATCAGTTCCTGTCCAACGTTTCTTTTAGACATTTAGACTTTTAGACTTTTAGACTTTAGACTTTAGACTTAAGACTTTTAGACTTTTTAGACTTTTAGACTTTTTAGACATTTAGACTTTGAGACTTTTAGACTTTAGACTTTTAGACTTTAGACTTTAGACTTAAGACTTTTAGACTTTTTAGACTTTTAGACTTTTTAGACATTTAGACTTTTAGACTTTTAGACATTTAGACTTTTAGACTTTAGACTTTAGACTTAAGACTTTTAGACTTTTTAGACTTTTAGACTTTTTAGACATTTAGACTTTTAGACTTGCATAAATATATATAAGTCCCTTTTTGTAAACGCTTGCAATTTTATCAAATATATGCAAAAGCTAAAGAAATGCTTCACTGAGACTTTTTCATACTTCAAGAAAATATTCAACTAATTCAGGCCAATAAATTGCGTTTTATATAAGTATTTGAATAGCACTGATAAGGCAAACAGTGTAGTATATCTGGTATAATACAGTATTGTTACAAGGATGTGGTAAATACCTAGATATGAAATAACAGTCAGTCTAGACTAATGTTTAGTGTTTAAATAAGTAATTTAATATTCGTTCTAGTTACTCTATGTTGGTTATAGGTTTCTGCTTGGATCACATTGTATGGTGAAGAAGGAGACTTAAACAACTCGGGTCTCTGGGTCGATATCAGGGCTTGACCTAAATCAGGATCAAGGTGCCTTTATAAAAACTGGAAAAATAATTGAAACCAAAATATAAAATACAAATAGAGAATCAATAAACACATACGTAAAATACTGTGCCAATTTCATGTAGTTACACTTTAAAAGAAGACTTAGGCTTTTGCATGGTAAAATAATCAGCTTGTCAAAAAGGATACCGTTGAAAATTAAGAAATATGGTTTACATTTTAAACAAAATTTCAGAATATTTCATAAGATACATCTATACTATATAGAGATATAATTTTAGTTATTTCTCAGAAATTCTATTTGTGGTTCCTTTCTGATAAATTCCAGCAGTTCTCCGAGATTGCTTGAGTAACCTGCCAACTTGTCGTCAAGGTAGCTGTCTTCCAAGGTGACCTTGTTGCCTGGAATTTCCAGCTGGACGACCCCGCTGTCCCCGAGGTCCTGCTTTACATACACAGTCCCATTGATGGTACATTTCCTGTTGACCATGATGTCTTCCACTATTTCACATTCATCATGAGGAGAGGTAAGATTTTGTAACGACGGTGCAAGAATTGAGTCCATTGTGAACTTGGATTTGCCCTTCCTGACAGGGCTGTCATGCTTGGTCCGTATCCCAGAACTTCCGATCTCAATTTGTAGACTGTTGCTTCCATCTGAACGAATCAAAGCATTCATCTGACAATCATCAATACTGATGACATCAGACTCAAAATCTGATGATGCCATGCTCATTCTGCCTGAATCATCACTCATGGCAGACCCTGGTCTCCGCTGAGAAGGGGAGCAGTCAATACCTATTGGTGATGGTATAGGGTAAGGTACCCTAGAGTTGAGGACATTTCCATATATCTCCTGCATCACTTGGGCTTCCGAACCCAAATTTTTGGACACAGGAGGACAACACCCGTTTTTTGGACACCCATTAGATTGTTCACAGCTGGAATAGGTTGGAGTGAAGCCCCAGGGCTGGGTGTGACCACCCTGAGGCTTCAGGCCCAAATTTGGGGGCGGTGGAGGAGGTGGTGGTGGCATACCCATCGACCCAAATCGGGGATAGTGAGGCGATGTGAAATTCTGACCATATCGTCCCGAGGGATACGCATAGCCTGGAGGTAGAGGAGGAAAGTGGCGGAACATATCTGTGTTGTGCGTGGGAAAAAATGCTCTTGTCTGTCGGTCCAGAGATCCCAGCACAGAGGAACTGTCCACTGAACTGTTGAACCCAACAGCAGCCATGGAGGGCGCTATACCATGAGGATATACACAGGATGATGGCCCGGTCGGAGTCCTCTGTGAATCTGGTCGGCCATATGGAGGAAAGTGTACATCCGATAGTTCTGGTGGATCCTTTATACCGAAAGGATGTGGTGTAGAGTGGACTTGATTATGAGACATGCCTAACATGTGCTGACTCCTAAATTCACTGAAAGTTCTCTCATTAAAGTCATTTAATGTTGGTGGTGGTGGAGGCATGACAATCTGGTGATTATGAGACAAGGATGATTGGTCCACTAGACCTGGCACCATCGCATGCTGGCCAATCACAGAGGCAGGAATGGCCGGGGAGGTGGTAGGGATCCTGTGCGGCGTGTGCCCTGGTGCTGGAGGGGCAGAACATGGCCCTTGTGGTCGTATGATAGGCTCAAATGAGGGGAATCCTTGTCCATGTGGATAAGGGAAATGATCGGATAACTTAGGAGGCATTATTGGCTTGGCCACATCACTCCTGTTTGGTGGTGAAGGACCATCAAGAAACCTACTTGGTCCTGAAGCCGTAGGAGAGGTTATGTTACTGTGACCCTCTTGAGAATTTGGGGACAGAACACTGGCAGCTGATGAAGCAAGAGGTGTCTCTTTAGGTCGAGAGTAGGGCTTGGGCTTTGACCGTAGGTACACACACTTACGGTACATACAAGTCTGTTTTAGTACATCCCGTCTGACACAGAAATGACATTTGTTGCAGTTCTCTTTCACCTGACATGGTCCACACTGTCCACACCGACGGCGCCGCTTCAGCCGTACACCCCGATCAAACGATCCGTCAGGAGAAGTGTAGTAATCGGGGCTGGTGGGGCTGGATAGATCCTCCTCCTCCTTCACTATAAATTCCCCATCGCCAGTCTGGATGTGGAGTGGAAACTGGCCATTTCCATCCTCCATTATTCAGCATAAATCTGATAAAATACAAAACAATATGATATAGTGGTAAGTAAGCATAACTAGAAAATTAATATCATGATTTAAATGTAATAACAATAATTATTGACATAAAAGACTGGCTGGCCTTAACACCTTGCTACATATTCTAATGTTATATACTATACAAGAGTCCAAATGATGCCATGATGGACTGTATTGCTAACCTGTTTTTCATCTCACATTTCTTATGTTAAAAGGGGGTCAAGGTCAAAACTTATTTCAAAAAGCCAAATATTATTAATCTATACATTAGAGATTTTGCTGCAATATTTTATATAACTCTACCTATTTTTTTTATCTTTATAAGAACAATGTACTAGTTTTGCTGATGTGACCTTCAAAGTTGGTGTGGTTCTTTCATAAATTCAGAATTCATAGCACTTTACACCATAAAGCTACAGGGCAAATTTTATGACCAAATGTATATTCAGAAGATGTCGTTTGATAGTTCCATGATCTAGAAAGTTTGCTGAGCTGATAAATTTGTATACACTTGATCATATCCCTTTATCCCAGCATGCAATGTATTAAAACCTTTATCACTTGGATGTTGAAAAGAAGTTATTTAGAATTGTATGACCCTTAAGCTTTTGAACTTGAAATAAAGTCAAGGTCATTAATTTAAACAAACCTATAGCTCTCCTTTTCTTGCATGCTAATGGCCAGATATTATCAACCTTGGTTATTCATAAGAACTTTCTTTTTTCTCAGTGACCTTGAAAGCAGGATGACAAGGTAGACCTTCATTTCAGAATGCTATGGCTTATGCTTATCCATTATTTAGAAGAAATTGTTTAATGTAAAGGGTTGATGTTCGATGGACAGACAACTACACCACAGCATCTGCTGACATAATCTCACTTGATACTCGGGCCAGGCGAGTTAAAAGTGAGAGAAAAAAATGTTTTTTTCTTGTCCCAAATGTTTTCACTGATGTACACATGTTAATCAGGGCAAGAACAAAGTTTTCAAAATTACTAGACAAGTGGTCCTTCTGGTAAGTGGATTTGAAAAAAGTACTTTCCTTGAAATGAAATAATGTATTCCATATTGTGTTTTTTTTTATCAGAATCAAAGATAATCTGCCTGTCAATTGTATTATTTAAAAAGTAATATATGTAAAACCAAAAGTATGCTGACAATATATATTAAAATATAAGAAAATCCTATGTCAGGCATTTGCTAATTCTCACTTGCCCGTAAATAGTGATGAGCCAGCGAACTGATGGAAAATAATCAAACATTAGCTGAAAAATAAAATAGAAATAAATTTGATGCCAATAATAAAAGACAATTAATCAGTAAAGTTCAAGAATGACACAGCACAGCTTTTTCTGTATCTGAAAAATGCTTGGAACTAGCTATATATAGTATGAAAAGTACTTGATAACTCATGATTACAGATGAGAAACTTATTAAACCATGTTCAGCATTGTGACAAGAAAAGATGATTATAGATTCAGACCTTTCAAATACTTGCAATATATTAATTTCAAAATTTACAACAATATCATGCTTTCAGAATGTTGTTGGACCAAAATAATTACTTATCATCACTTTCCTTAATTTTTTTTCTATATGTGCTGAATCCTGATTAAATCTGAAATTTGTGAAATGTTGATATTTTTCCAATAAAAATGTCCAACTATACCATGCAATGAAACTTCCTGGCACCAAATGTTTTGATACACCCCATTGTAATATAACCATCCTCTGACTGACTTGTGTAAAAGATGTGGATTAATTAGGTTGCCTTACAAGCGTCAGCTGTAGGGAATTTCCCTTTAGCTTAGCGGTAGAGCATCGGGCTGGAGAGTCGAGGGTTGCGGGTTCGAGACCCAGCGACGGCACTATCTTAATCACTATTCCTCGTCCTACTACACTTGCAGTAGTTCATAAATTGATCTGAATGAAACAAGAAGAGTTATCTCCCTTAAGTGTTTATATCACATGACAAATAGCATCATTTAGGTAAAGTTTCTTACATTTTACATTCTTTGTAACCAATGTAAGTATTTCAACTAGTCAGATATATGTTTGATGCTGTATGTAAACATTCTTAACATCTAAATTGTGATTTATTTGTCATGTTGTTTGTAATTGGCTTTTGCAGGTCAAGTGAGAGACTAGTTATCTATGATCAAGATCAACTCAAGGGATATGCAAACTCTGACCGTCAAAGATTATAATTCATGTTCTTTAATTAGTAAATAAAGTTAATAAAATTAACAAAATCTAAAATGTGTGGTTTTAATGAAAATTACAATTGATGATGTGAAAAGACCAGAATATATGTCAAATCATTTTAGTGATTCGTCAAGGAATTCCAGTAAGACTTAGGGGAAATGTAATTTTTGTTAGCATAACATGAAGGAGGCCCACTGTCCGCCGGACCGGTGTCTGATCAATGGCGGTCTAAAGCACAGCGGGTGGTTATATTTACAAACGCGCGCGGCGATCCAATCATTGTATGAGGTATCCTAGTTGTGCAACGCTACCCACTATTCTCTATGAAGGCGTTGGGACGCTGAGTCATCTGATGACTTCAGTTCATTCCAAAATTGAAATGTTATTTATCAATAGCGAGAAAGAAATAGCGTTATTAGTGGTATTGAAATGATCATTTGAGCGTAACCAACTGTAGCGTGCATAAACAGGATGACCTGCTAACAGCAACATCATCCACAAACTCACTCTAAATACTTTCTCTTAGAAGATGCTTCCAACTAAGTGTTGCCGTATACCAAAAAAATGAACGTTTGATGAACATATGCACCGACAATTATCACGCTAAACGATACTTACGACACCAAAATTAGATGATAATTTTGACAACTTCTCTCATCCTGCTGTCATCAATATTCGCCATGCTTGTTTACTTGATTAGTTTAGGCAAATGAAACCGATAACATCTAAAATTTACTTGAGAGTAGTGCAAAATACTGCAACCAAGTTGCTTTATATTCTGTGTTAAAATTACAAAATTATATCAAACTGTGCATTTAATGTGATAGAATGTGGACCATTAATTTCAATGTATTATTTATTTTAATGTCGACTAGTTTTGTCTTACAGAAATTCATTCGGAAATCTCTGCTTTCTTATGAAAACGTCAGAAAAGTTACGAGTAGCTGGCAGTCATGGACGCGGAAGTGTTGGGCCACATCGAGTTTCTGAGAAACAATGTTTCTGCGTTACGTAGTTTAGGGAAAGAATGGGGTCTAGAAAACGAGGAGATCGAATCATGTATCGATGAGGTAATCGCAAATAGCAATGACAAAGCTAAAGTCAAGCCGACAATCACGTCAACTGGGAGAAACATATGGTCACTCATTCGATTCAGCATCAAGTTTTGGTTGGTGGTGTTTGTCCTGATATGCGCTTCCTGTACGTGCCTCTTTCTGGTTGCCAGCTACAACAACGATGTTGAGAGTTTTGTTTCAAGAACCCTGCAGCCTTATGGTTACGACATATTTCGATATGTCAGATTGGCAGGCCTACCACTGCACGACCTGTTCAACATAACTGGTAATTAAAGTTAAGGTTCAACAAGCCCCATAAAAGATGCTGTAGTCACCTAAAATCTCAACCCCCTTATAAGTCATGTTCAAAGACCTCAATTAAAAATCGGAATTCATACATGTTTTTTGGATATATTAAACTTGTACATTGGCTATACAAAAAATACATATCCATGTCCAACTGGGAAGACTTTTTTAATGGTAAAGATGTAAACGAGTCATGGACCTCTTTTTGTAATATATTTATAATGAAACTTGATGAAGTTGCCCCAGTAAAAGAGGTTTGCATTAAACAAAGAACAGAACCATGGATTTCTGCTGAAATCTCATCAAGCCGAGAGATTTATTTTTACTTACATTTAAAAAGTCGGGTAAAGCAGAAGGAATTGTAAAAAAAAGCCAAGGTTGATTATGTTGATGAACAAATATCTGAAAATAAGAACAACTCTAAAAATCTATGGAAAAGTTTTTAAAATCTTGGCTAAGAAAAGGATACAAAATCTGATGCAAAAGTCATACTTAACATAAATAACAAAAATTGGCATGATGGATTTTCTATTGCCAATTATTTTAACTTATATTTTACAACTATTGCTGCCAAACTTGTGGAAAGACTGCCAAGCTGTAAGGGAATTTACAATACTACTTCTTATTTATTTAGAGGCTTTTACTCAAAGAGAAAACCCAGCAAAATTAAATTTCATTTGAAACATATTAGTGAATCATTTGTGTATAAAGAATTTTGTGATCTTAAAACTTCTAAAAGTACAGGCCTGGATGGCATTCCTGCTCGCTTTCTTAAAGATGCAGCATCAATTACTTTTATGATAAATACAACTATATCTGAGGGAATGAAAATGGCAAAAGTAAAACCTCTATTCAAAAAATGGGACAGATTAAAGGCTGAAAACTATTGACCAGTCAGTATTCTCTGCATTGTATCAAAAATACTTGAGAGGGCAGTTTACAAACAATTGGAAACATACCTTATTTTGAATAATTTATTGTATGAACAACAATCAGGATTTAGAACATCTCATTCCACTGATTCTTGCCTCATCCATCTTGTAGACTATATTAAATCCCAGACAGCTAAAGGTCTTTTTACAGGCATGGTACTTTTAGATTTACAAAAAGCATTTGATACAGTTGACCATGATATTTCATCTGTCATAATATTCTTTATGAAAAACTTAAATGTATGGGTATTGAGTCTATTGCATGCAGGTTTAAATCTTATCTCATGCAAAGAAAACAACTTGTTCAAGTTAACAAAACAAATTCCAAAATTGAAGATGTAAACTGTGGGGTACCCCAGGGTAGTATACTAGGCCCACTTTTATTTTTAACGTATGTTAATGACATGCAGATAAGTATCGACTCGGAGTGCAAACTCCTACTATATATGCAGGTGATAGTGCTGTAACAAAGACCCAAACACTATATCTGATAAATTATCTAAAACACTGGAATCCTGCCATGATTGGCTTGTACATAGAAACTTTCACTTCATCTTGGGAAAACAGAAAGTGTCCTATTTGGTCCTAAAGGAATATTGAGAAATTTAACTTCAGATTGTTTTAATATAAGATGCAATGGACATACTATTGAGTCCAAACCACATGTAAAATATGTGGGTGTAATCTTAGACCAGTTTCTTTCAGGACAACATATTGTGAACAATGCAATACAGAACATTAATCAGAGACTAAATATACCAAACCAGAAAAAGTCTATCTGTGTCATCAAGAAAAACACTCTGCTCGGCACTTATCCAATGTGTTTTGACTATGCTTGCTCATCTTGGTACGAGGGTATCTCCAAAAATCTTAAACACAAACTCCAAGTTACACAAAACAAGGTTGTTTGTTTTATTTTGGATTTAAATTGGAGGAAAAGAATAACTTTTGCAGAACTGGAAAAAATAAATATGTTGAATGTAAGTAATAGAGTGGCTCAACTGAGATTAAACCATGTTTAAAACATTTCATGAAAAATGTCCAGCTTATATGAAGGAAGGTTTTGAAAGGAACAACAAGAGGTGTACAAGATCAAGCCAATAAAACTGTTCTATACATAATGTAAGTGGTGTAGAATCCACGTCTTTCTCTTAATACAATACAATAAAGGACTGAAATGCATTACCAGATAATATTAAGGCAACCAAGAACTTACACAGATTCAAAATTCTGGTCAAACAACATTTAACATCAAAGTTTAGATCGGTATAAAAGTGTGATTTTGTGAAAGGGTAATGGTGAGACTCCAGTGACATACTCTATTACTTCTTCATTCAAATATTATCCTAAACACTGTTATTAAATGATACTATATTGTTACTTTATATGCAGTCTAAGAGTTTGGTCGGTAGGGATTGGCCCAACCACCAGCCCTCTTCTGCAAGTAGCAATTAATTTAAATAAAACTGGTTAAATTTGGCTATTGAGTTATTCAAAAGCATTATTCATTTGACTTAAATCCTATTTACATTCCATTTTTCTTTTTTAACGTTGTGTCATCGACTCATCATGTCAATTACTATAACTTTATACAGTATGAGAGTTTGGTTGGTAGGGACTGGCCCAACCACCAACAGCCCTCTTCTGCAAAAAGCAAACAGATTTTTATAAAATTCAATTGGTTTAAATGTATCGTTAAATGTATCGTTTGTATCAGATTTTTATTAGTATAAGTTATATACCAGTACATGTCAATCAATTGTATTACCATATGTTAATGTCTGAGAGTTTGGTCAGTGGGGATTGGCCCAACCACCAGCCCTTTGGCAGGTAACATTTTAAGTTAATACTATATATCTTTGATTGTTAAAATTCCAATATATGGTTAATCACTTCATATTTTATATCATTCAATTACCAGCATTATTTTAATGATATAGCCTATGGCACATGCAACATTTTATATCTATTTTTATAAAAGAAGTGTCTAAGAGTCTTATAAAATTATCAATATATACTATATAATTATTTAACTATTGTTATGAATTGATTTATTTAGACCTAAGGGACCCATTGGAATTAAGCCACAATGTGGCTTTATGGGTCATCCCAGGTAAAGGCCTAAATTAATCCAATCCAATCCAGTTTTAACAGTACCTGACTGATTACTAGTTTTATTGCATAAATAACTTATAAATAACATCTCATTCTGTGATAATATATATATTTATGTCCAATCTGCAAAATGTGATATACATGTATTATTTGCCTTTTACCTGAATTAATTTTATTATTATAACGTAGTCAAAAAGTAAGGCATTAATCTTTCGCTGTAATATACATCGTTGTAAGCTTTTAAGCTTTTGGAGATGTCTTGATTATATTTCATTTATTTATTGACAACGTTCATCCGGTTGCACATAAAATGATAAAAGTCCATTATTTACACATTGATGAGTTGTGGCGATATATAGGTCATGTTGCTCACATATTATAAATTGACTACACAGTTCTCTCTCTATATGAAACACATGTATATACACGTGTCCATGGTACTAATCGCAAAAAGAGGCCCGGAATTTGGACCTGTTGGTAATGTTATGGTTGTTCAGTAATGTTTTAAAGCTGTTAAGGTTCATTGCTGTGGCAATCACTTCTGGTAGACTGTTCCATGCTGTTATTGTTCTATTGCTGAAGACATTTTTGTTTACATCAAGGCGAAATGGTTTCTTGGACAGCTTTTTTGGATGCCCCCTGGTCCCCCTACATGGTCGATATTGTTTAGGATCTTATAGATTTTGATGGGGTCGGTTGTTTCCCTTCTATATTCGAGTGTAGGTAGTCCCAGTTTACGCAGCCTTTCATCATAAGGTAGATTTGATATATTTTTTATCCGTTTTGTAGCCCTTCTTTGCACATTTTCAATGGAGATTTTGTCTTTGATAAAGATTGGGGACCATATAGGTGTTCCATACTCTAAATGTGGTCCGACGAGTGATTTGTACAATAGCGTAAACATGATTGCGTCCATATATGTGAAAGTACTGATATCTAGAGTTCCTTATCCTTGATACAACATAATTCCTAGCCATTTTGTAGTTATGAAGATGTTGATCCGTTTTGCAATGTAGGTATTTGTTCCACAGGTGCTTCTCTCTCTTGTTTGCTTGTTTAGCATCGATGCTGAGACAAGTTTTGTTCTGATTTCTTGGTTGAGATATCTTCCTTACTGGTATACATTTCTTTATATCTTGTGTCAAGAATACAGATAGTTTATCCCAAGCTTCCAAAATTCCATTTCAGTTACTCAGATCCTCAGCATCAAAGTTGTTAAGGTCATGCGTCATCCCGATGTAATTGCCTTTGTGGGAGTTGTACCGTTTTAGATCTACTCCCTCCTGGGATGGTGTGGTGGTGTTATGGGTACACATCTCGAAACGTAGGGTCAAATGGTCACTTTTTCCTAATGATGGTAAATATATAATGTCATCAATCACTTCCTCCTCGTTCGTGAAGATAAGGTACAAGATATTTGGGCTTTGTCCTTCGCAGTATCTAATTGGGTGTTGGTAGATGAAGCGGTCCCTCGTTGTTTCAAGACATTTTGTGGCTGGGGGGTTTTCCCTTGTGGTTGTTGATCCAACTTCCCAGTTTATTTCCTTAAAATTAAAGTCTCCCAGAGTTAGTAAATGGGAATAATGTAGAGAATACAATTTCATAAGGAGGTCAAATAGGCGATCATTGTTTTGTTCTGGGCTGTTAGGGCTTCTGTATATGCAGCACACATAAAATGTAGTGTCCAACTGTAGACAGTTACTTTTTGGAAACATTTCTGTTAGACATACCATGTCCAAGTCTCCGTTGTAAATATGTTCCACTAGTTCGGATTATTTTGTGTTGGTCATAACATTTACATTAGAATACAAACATCGGATTTGATTTCCTGGTATAACTTTGCCTGGTAATATATTTACAATATTTCCAGTGTAACCATTAAAACAAACTTCCGATACTCTTTCCAGATCTAGTGATATTGGAGTCCTGGAATTTATATGGTCCTCTGGAGTGTTTAAGATTTCACGTTCCTGTGGTCCTTCCTGACCTATTCGAGTCCTTTCTACCTCGGATATTACAGTAGAGTCCAGATAGACGTTTGTGTCCATTTCATCATTTCCTGACAAGTTTCCAGACATTATTGGACTAGGTGGCCCCAATGGTTGAGGGTGCAAGTTGAATCAGGTGTTCCATACCGGTTCTGATTTGTCATCTACACCTGTAGTACCCCGTGCAGCCGTGTTCACATTCCTGATAGGCGGCTCTGTGGCGGAGCAATCTCCAAACAGCAGAGCCTGACCTATATTACTGCGCCGGTTCATAGCACTCTGAGTACTGTCAGGGGTGCTACTCGAGTAATGTGTTGAGCGCTTGGAACTGCTTGTCTGTTGTGCTGTCCTGTCTATGTCGATCCATGTGTGGTTGATTCATAATAGCTGGGTAGTCCCTAATTGCCTTGATAATACTCGTGTTTCAACTGTTTGTTCGTTCTAACAGTTGTCTGACCACCGCGGATGTTTTCCTCGTTTCTTCCTCCTTCCAAGTTCTATACTTTAGCATTAAGGCTGTTCTCTTCATAAAAGGTCTCACTAGACTTATAACATGTCAATCTCTTTTGTGACCCAACTGAGTGCCGAAAATGACCCATAATTTAAAGTTTATTTATATACCTAGGTCATGAGAAGCTTTATTTCTCTTCTACTGTTGAGAGGAGTTCTGACCTCAAATAAAGATAGATGTTGCCATGCGAAACCACTAAAATCACAGTAAAATCCCCTGGTAAGACATTTTAGCAATTTATAAATAAGAAAACAAAGGTTAAGTAACCTTGATCTATAAATGAACTTTAGATGATGTGCCATTTGAAAACATTCTGTGATTATATGAGTGCGCTTGACATGTTTCAGTTATAAACATTGAAGCTGAAAATTACGATAATGTTTGTTTAGAAAGGACATTTTATATGAAGTTTAAGTAGTGTTTATGTTCAAAGGTCTATGGTTTTACACATATATACTGGTAAAATATGTTACGCAGATGTTTTACTATGATTTTTAGCTCACCTGGCCCGGCGTCAACTTTTTACTTTAAACAACTTCTCCTCAGTAACCAAAAGGCCTAGGGTGATGATATTTGGCCAGAAGCATGCGTGGATGAAGGGCTACCAAGTTTGTTCAAATAAATGACCTTCATCAATTGTCAAGATCACAGGGGTCAAATATGTTAATATCTTTAAACAACTTCTTCTGAATAACCAAGACGCCTAGGGTGATGATATTTGGCCAGTAACATGCTGGTATGTAGGGCTACCAAGATTGTTCAAATAAATGACCTTGACTTATATTCAAGGTCACAGGGGTCAAATATGTCAAAATCTTTTAAACAACTTCTTCTGAATAACCAAGAGGCCTAGGATGATGATATTTGGCCAGTAACATGCTTGGATGAAGGGCTTCCAAGTTCGTTCAAATACATGACCTTACCTTATATTCAAGGTCACAGGGGTCAAATATGTCAAAATCTTTTAAACAACTTCTTCTGAATAACCAAGAGGCCTAGGATGATGATATTTGGCCAGTAACATGCTGTATGAAGGGCTACCAAGTTTGTTCAAATAAATGACCTTGACTTATATTCAAGGTCACAGAGGGCAAATATGTTTTAAACATTTAAACAACTCAACTTCTTCTGAATGTCCAATAGGCCTAGGGTGATGATATTTGCCTAGTAGCATGCTGGGATGAAGGGCTATAAAGTTTGTTCAAATGAATGACCTTCATCTTTTTTCAATGTCACAGGGTCAAATATGTTCTTAACCTTTAAACAACTTCTTCTGAATAACCAAGAGGCCTAGGAATAATGCCAGTAACATACTGAGATGAAGGACTACCAAGTTCAAATGAATGACCTTGACATATATATTTTAAGGTCACAGGGGTCAAATATGTTTAAAACCATTGAATGACTTCTTCTTAATAAGCAAAAGGCCAAGGGTGATGATATTTGGCCATTAACATGCTGGGATGAAGGACTACCAAGTGAATGACCTTCGCCCATATTCAAGGTCACAGTGGTCAATATATGTTTAAATCTTAAAATGATTTGTTCTGTATAACCAGAAGGTCCAGGGTAATGATATTTTGCCAGAAGCATGCTGGGTTGGAAGACTATAAACTCTGTTCAACCGAATGTCCTTGTTTGACATTCAAGGTCACAGGCGCCATATGTTTAAATCTTTTAATAGGTTACAAGTGTGAGATTAATACCAGGTGAGCGATGCAGGCCCATTGGGCCTCTTGTTGTACTTTCCCATAGCAACGATCATCTTCTTGTGAGGCCGGTATGCCTCACCACACATAGCTAAAGAGAAATAAAGCCCCGCATGACCTAGGTATATAAATGATCTTCAAGTAAAATGTCATTTCGTAACATTTGGTTGGGTCGCTTAAGAGATTGACATGTTATAAATCTGGTGATCAATTTTTATCATTACATAAGCCTTAATGCCGTATTTTGACTTTGTTAACCTGGTTATGTACCTTTTTAAAAACTTATGTACAAGATCAATATGTTTAAATTAAATATATATATTATGATTTGTAATAAGAGTATTTGAATATGACTTGCCAAGGGGTTGAAATTTTGGGTGACTATTGCATCTTTAAGGGGGCTTGTTGAACCTTAAACGTCTACATTTTGCAGCTTCAGTTGTCTTTGGCAGAAGTAAGTAACATTGATAAACACTGCAAAGACATGTAATATAAGGATTGCCATCCCTTGCACACACACACACACACACATTCACAATATTTGTTTGAGTAATAAAGTTGATACTTATTTGTGCAGAGTACTATGATGCCGAGTGTCTAGTTGAGAATCCTTACTTCACGGAACCAGAGATATCCTGTGTGTACTGTGAGGGGACCTCATCACTGATGATCTTCAAGACGCTCAATGTTAGCCTTGTGGCCTTGCTCCTAGACAACAGACAACCACTTTTACATCAGGTACGTGATACATTTATTTTCCAGTAATAGATAAATGTTACTGCTGAACTTCTGGGAAGTCTTCTTTTCTTATGTGACCTCCAATTTTGCAGATTTCAGGCAAAGTGTCCAATGTACAAAGTGCTATGGTGAGGAGTGATTGCCATGGTTTTGATTTGGCAGATTGTTCTTTTCACAGAAATTAAAGTGAAAATTAGAACGTTGTGAAAAAAAGCAATATCTACGGTATTTAGTGGCTTGTTACTAAAACAGCTCAAGAGAATTCAATGTAGCTCAATTGGTAGAGCACATGTACTGAACTAGTTCTGGGCTCGACTCTTATCATGATTCATTCAGGGAAAGGTTTTTAGCTCACCCCAAGGGCCAGGTCAGCTTATGCGGTACTGCGGCGTCCGGCATCCGGCATCTAGCCTTCAACTTCTTCTGAAGAACTGGAGGACCTAGGGTCATGATATGTGGCCAGTAGATACCTGGGATGAAGTGCTATAAAGTTTCCTCATTAAAATAACCATGACCTACTTTCAAGGTCACAGGGGTCAAATATGTTAAAAACTTCAAACAGCAATATCCTAAGAACCATTTGGACTCGAGTCATAATACTTGAGTATTTTATGTAGACCAGCTGTGAACTGTTTTCTTTATTTCAGTAATGAGGTCAAATGTTAACTTTAAGTGCTAGCCGAAGTCAAAGGTCAACGTTGGTTAAAAGCTTTTAAATTAAAATTTCAAATTTCAAACAACAATACAGGTACCTTAAGAAGCGCTTAAGAGATGTTAAAATGTCTTTTGTTCTAGTTACCAAATTTGGCCTGAAGTTACCTATATGTCAGTTTCATGTAACCAAAGAAACAGGTGAGCGATACAGGCCCTCTGGGCCTCTTGTTTTTCTTGAATTGAAACAGTTTAAAACAAAAATCTTATACTAAAATGTGCATATTAAAGGAAATAAATTGAAGATTTTGTTTTCAGGGTGGGTTCCCGACTAAGGTTACATACAGTGACCTGCGTGATACTTACCTACATAACAGGGACGTGTTTGATGGAGAATCTCATCAAGTGGAGTCAACACAGGACATTGTGCAGTCCCTCCCTGATCTGTTTGGTAGTGACATGGAGGACACTATCAGCACCACAGAGTCCTTCGGGATCAGATGGTACTGTATGGACATCACTATTTGGGTCTTCTTGTTGTTTTGTAATTGTAATTATTACAGAATATCTTTAAGACACCTATATATTATTGCAAATTAGGTAAACAAAACAGTTACAAAAAGAACATTTTTGTGACTGTTTCCACTCAAAGACCCCGACACTTTTTACTGGTGCAACATTTTAAATCTGTTCTACAAATTGTACCAGTAGATACAAACAAGGTAATATTTGAATTAAACACTAAATATGTGTGATATAAAATTAAACAAATTAATTCGTGATTCATTAACCCTGTATTGAGAACAAGTTTTTCGTGTACTTGGGCTGGTTTGAGGGTGGTTCATTGGGATATTTGGCTAATCAATGATATCTAACAAATAGATTGCAGTGAATAGGAAGGCTGAACCACATTTGGATCATTTTAAAGTTTTTCAACATTAAAAACAAGTATTGATTTTCTCAAATATAGTAAACCATTTCAATTTTGAGTATGCACATGGGCTAAGGCCCCAGCCCTGACATCAGAAAGCCTCATTATCCCTGAAGTTGTGCCAAAATCATCAGGTATTATTGTTAATTAGTAAAATTCTTGGCATTTTGTTAACATTCTTTAGGTTTTCTAAGGGAGTTAGAAGTAGCAATCTGTTGAGGAAGGTGTTTCCTCGCCCGACAGTTGTTCCAGTCAACACAGAGATTGCAGTGGACAAAATCTTGTACCTGGATGGTCCAGGCTCCCAGCAATACCAAGTGGTATGTATCAAGCTTTTATGAAGTATTCTCAGCGGTATATACTGAAACATTGTGCAAAGATTAGTCAAAGAAAGTGCCATACCAGTAACCTATAGCATATCTTTAATATATGTTCTTCTTGCAAGAAATCAGTATTGCTTTTATATGCCACACTATTATTCAGATAGGAAAATATATGGCAGGGTTTTGATAAATTGTATTTTATTTCTAGCTTACCAATGATCAATTAGAAAACAACACTAATATTGAAATGTTAATTAGGGCCCCGTATCGGAGATACGGGTGCCCTATAGTAATCACTCTGTCTGTCTGTCTGTCAACAAATTTTGTTTCTGGCTGATATCTTTGGTATTTATTGACCGATGTACATAAAACTTGGTCAATATGTTCAGTGTACAGAAAAACACATAAAGGTAAAAAGTCAAGATCAAAGGTCAAGGTCATTAGGTTCAAAGGTCAAGGTCAAATTTTACATCTTTTCACTGATGAACATTTTGTTATGACATTATGAAGCAAAGTTGATAAGAATTAAACAAGGAGTCGACTGACCAAAGGTCAAGGTCATTGGGTCAGGGATCAAGGTCAAATTTTGTAGCTTTTCACTAGTGAATATTTTGCTATGACATTATGGAGCAAAGTTGATGGGAATTAAACAGAGACATACTGAGGTAAAAAGTCGAGGTAAAAGGTCAGGTCATTAGATTCAAAGGTCAAGGTCAAATTTTGCACCTTTTCACTGATGAACATTTTGCTATGACATGATGAAGCAAAGTTGATCAGAATTAAACAAGGAGTCAACTGACCAAAGGTCAAGGTCATTGGGTCAAAGGTCAAGGTAAAATTTGGTATCTTTTCACTGGTGAACATTTCGCTATGACACTTTGAAGCAATGTAGCTCAGAATTAAACAAGGAGTCAAATGACAAAAGGTCAAGGTCACTGGGTCAAAGGTGAAGGTTAAATTTTGTACCTTTTCCTTGATGAACATTTTGTTATGACATTATGAAGCAATTTTGTTCAGAACTTAACACAGAATCAACTGACCTTAGGTCCAGGTTACGGGGTCCGAAGGGTCAAGGTCAAGTTTTGTATTTTCACTGATGAACATTTTGTTATGATATTAAGACGCAAAGTTGGTTGGAATTAAAGAATAAGTCAACTGACGAAAGATCAGGGTCACTGGGTTAATGGTCAAGGTCATTTGGGTCCAAAGGTCAAAGACAAAGTGGATCTCTGACTTTGACCCTGGCTCTTGATGGAGGAGGTATATAAGGTGAAATAAAACAACTCAAAGCTAGCAAATGAGTATTGCACCGGTATTTACATTTCTGTTAGCCCAGCAAATATGGAGGTGGAAGGAAACAAGACTCACATCATAGTACATGTAAAATGTATATTTTGCTTCCTTGCGATTCTTTTTGATGTCCAAATATCAAACGTCAAGTTCAGCTTTATATGGGCAGATTGCTTCTTGATGATTATGGGGGGATATATTACCACAAGACGGGGCCCTTACTGACCTGTCAGTGTTCTAGTTTTGTTTTATTTTTGATGTTCGTTTACCAGGCTCGAGGGAAATTCCCTCTAGCTGTATACGTCCAGGCTAGTGGTAGAAGGAAGGCTGTACTTCGACCCCGGGACAACTGCCAAACACTCTGTCAGCTGTTCACTCTCAGCCTTAATGAGAGGGATATATGTATGTATTGATGGAACTTCTTCTTTCTATAAAACAAGTTTTACAAAACGAATATTACAAAACTGAATATTCATTACATATGCTAGAATTGATTAAACTCTCACACCTAAAACAAACAAACATTTAAACTGACACGTTGACAAAGCACTTGAAAATTCCCAGCTTTGAAATGTTTTTTTTAGCGAAATGCCTTTTTTATACCATCCAAGTGAAATGACTTTTTTTTTCCATCCAAGTGAAATGACTCTTTTTTTTATACCATCCAAGTGAAAATTATGTGTTGGGGCAATTGTTTTATTAATGCTGGGTTCCGTAGATGACATACATTTATGTATAAATAAGATTGTCTTGAGGGCAAAAATTATACAGCACCATTTCCTCTTAATATAGGGTATGAAAGGAATCTGGCAGCAGGCAATTGGCATATTAAAAAGTGGCATGTTTTTAAATCATTAAAGCACCAATGATACTTTATTATACGCCCGTCAAATTAGACGGGAGTATTATGGTATGGCGTTGTCCGTCCGTCCGGCTTAAACTTTTATTTTTCCGGCAATCTCCTCCTACATTTTTCGACCGATCTCTTTATACCATGGTATACATTATAATCATGATATGAAGTTGTGTCTCCCTTAAAAGAATTTAGATTCGACAATATTTGCAAAAGTTATTCCCCTTTGTTCATTTCAGTATTTGATTTTCTCCTACATTTTTATAGCATGTTGGCTAACCACTCTTTGAATGATCCAGATCTTATTTCAATGTACGAAAGTATATAACACTATATGGCATTCGCCGGGCATATATTGTTCCGCCCCGCGGTACTCTTGTTTCAATTAGATGGACATAATGTCTACATCATATATTGTATTTATGAAATGTTTGTTTGTCTTTAATCCATAATACAGTATTAAATACAAAAAAATATCATTTGCATAATTTGTCTAATTTTCCTTTTTTTTCTGGCAATTCATGTTATATTGTTGTCCTGATCTGTTGATTTGGAAGCTGTTCCTCCTGAGTTATCTGCCCCTGTTTATCTTTCAGTGTTGTTTGACCAAGCTCTGTGGCACCTGTTCCTCCTACCTAACACAGAAGGGACCAGTGTTGGCTTTTCCAGTACATTTACAGAATGACTTCAGATATACAACATATTTGTCAACATGTTTAAATTAAACAGCAGTGGCATAAGTAAAACTGTGTATCAAAATTAAATTATTGATTTGAAAAGCATCTGTAGCTTTATTTATTTTTTATATCATACAACAAAATATCATAACATAGTGTGTCACTACACAAGGTGTCACTTTATAGTTTATCACTACATAGTGTGTCAGTACATAGTGTGTCATTACATAGTGAGTCAGTACATAGTGTGTCAGTACATAGTGTGTCGATACATAGTGTGTATGTACATAGTGTGTCAGTACATAGTGTGTCGATACATAGTGTGTCAGTACATAGTGTGTCGATACATAGTGTGTCAGTACATAGTGTGTCAGTACATAGTGTTTCGATACATAGTGTGTCAGTACATAGTGTGTCAGTACATAGTGTTTCGATACATAGTGTGTCAGTACATAGTGTGTCAGTACATAGTGTTTCGATACATAGTGTGTCAGTACATAGTGTGTCAGTACATAGTGTGTCAGTACATAGTGTGTTAGTAAATAGTGTGTCGATACATAGTGTGTCAGTACATAGTGTGTCAGTACATAGTGTGTCGATACATAGTGTGTATGTACATAGTGTGTCAGTACATAGTGTGTCGATACATAGTGTGTCAGTACATAGTGTGTCAGTACATAGTGTGTCGATTCATAGGGTTTGACTATAAAATGTCACTACATAGGGTGTTGGTACTTAGGGTGTGACTATACATGTCACTACATAGTGTGTCGATACATAGGGTTTGACTATAAAATGTCACTACATAGTGTGTCAGTATATAGGGTGTCAGTACATAGGGTGTCGGTACATAGGGTGTGATTATAAAGTGTCACTACATAGTGTGTCAGTACATAGAGTGTGACTATAAAGTGTGTCGATACATAGGGTTTGACTATAAAATGTGTCACTACATAGTGTGTCAGTACATAGGGTGTGATTATACAGTGTGTCGGTACATCGGGTGTGATTATAAAGTGTGTCACTACATAGTGTGTTGGTACATAGGGTGTGACTATAAAGTGTGTCAATACATCGGGTGTGACTATAAAATGTCACTACATAGGGTGTGACTATAAAGTGTGGCAGTACATAGTGTGTGTCTATAAAGTGTCACTACATAGTGTGTCGGTACATAGGGTCTGAATATGAAGTGTGTCAGTACATAGGGTGTGACTATAAAGTGTGTCACTACATAGTGTGTCGATACATAGGGTGTGACTATAAAATGTCACTACATAGTGTGTCGGTACATAGGGTGTAACTATATAGTGTGTCGGTACATCGGGTGTGATTAAAAAGTGTGTCACTACATAATGTGTTGGTACATAGGGTCTGAATATGAAGTGTGTCAGTACATATGGTGTCAGTACATAGTGTGTGATTATAAAGTGTGTCACTACATAGTGTGTCGGTACATAGGGTGTGACTATAAAGTGTGTCGGTACATAGTGTGTCACTACATAGGGTGTCACTACATAGGGTGTCACTACATAGGGTGTGAATATGAAGTGTGTCACTACATAGTGTGTGAATATAAACTGTGTCGGTACATAGTGTGTCAGTACATAGGGTATAAAGTGTCACTACATAGTGTGTCGGTACATATGGTGTGACTATAAAATGTGTCGGTACATAGTGTGTCACTACATAGGGGGTCACTACATAGGGTGTCACTACATAGGGTGTGAATATGAAGTGTTTCACTACATAGTGTGTCGGTACATAGGATGTGACTATACAGAGTGTCACTACAAAGTGTGTCAGTCCATAGGGTGTGAATATGAAGTGTGTCACTACATAGTGCATAGTGTGTCAGTACACAGGGTGTGACTATAAAGTGTGTCACTATCAGTACATAGTGTGTCAGTACATAGTGTGTCAGTACATAGTGTGTCGATACATAGTGTGTCAGTACATAGGGTATAAAGTGTCACTACATAGTGTGTCGGTACATAGGGTGTGACTATAAAATGTGTGGGTACATAGTGTGTCACTACATAGGGTGTAACTACATAGGGTGTCACTACATAGGGCGTCACTACATAGGGTGTGAATATGAAGTGTGTCACTACATTGTGTGTCAGTACATAGGGTGTGACTACAAAGTGTGTCAGTACATAGGGGGTGAATATGAAGTGTGTCACTACATAGTGCATAGTGTGTCAGTACACAGGGTGTGACTATAAAGTGTGTCACTCTATAGTGTGTCAGTACATAGGGTGTGACTATAAAGTGTGGTACATAGTGTGTCAGTACATAGTGTGTCGATACATAGTGTGTCAGTACATAGGGTGTGTCTATAAAGTGTCACTACATAGTGTGTCGGTACATATGGTGTGACTATAAAATGTGTCGGTACATAGTGTGTCCGTACATAGGGTGTGAATATGAATTGTGTCACTACATAGGGTGTGAATATGAATTGTGTCACTACATAGTGTGCGAATATAAAGTGTGTCAGTACATAGGGTGTCAGTACATAGTGTGTGATTATAAAGTGTGTCACTACATAGTGTGTCGGTACATATGGTGTGACTATAAAATGTGTCGGTACATAGTGTGTCACTACATAGGGTGTCAGTACATAGGGTGTGAATATGAAGTGTGTCACTACATAGTGTGTCGGTACATAGGATGTGACTATAAAGAGTGTCACTACAAAGTGTGTCAGTACATAGGGTGTGAATATGAAGTGTGTCACTACATAGTGTGTCAGTACATAGGGTGTGACTATAAAGTGTGTCAGTACATAGGGTGTGAGTATGAAGTGTGTCAGTACATAGGGTGTGACTATAAAGTGTGGCACTACATAGTGTGTCAGTACATAGGGTGTGACTATAAAGTTTGTCAGTACATAGTGTGTCAGTACAAAGTGTGGCGGTACATAGTGTGTCGGTACAAAGTGTGTCAGTACATAGGGTGTGACTATAAAGTGTGTCGGTACATAGGGTGTGACTATAAAGTGTCACAACGTAGTGTGTCGGTACATAGGGTCTGAATATAAAATGTGTCAGTACATAGTGTGTGATTATAAAGTGTGTCACTACATAGGGTGTGACTATAAAGTGTGTCAGTACAAAGTGTGTCAGTACATAGGGTGTGACTATAAAGCGTGTCGGTACATAGGGTGTGATTATAAAGTGTCACTACATAGGGTGTGACTATAAAGTGTGTCAGTACATAGGGTGTGACTATAAAGTGTGTCAGTACAAAGTCAGTCAGTACATAGTGTCACTACACAGTGTGTCAGTACATAGGGTGTGACTATAAAGTGTCGCTACACAGTGTGTCACTAAATTACATTAGTGTGTCACTACATAATGCCAGTAAGTTTTGTGTGTCACTAGTTAGTGTCGCTACGTAGAGTTTCATTTTGTTGGATAGTGATATTCTGCATTTGTACGAGGGAATTGTTTGTTTTAGGTCAAACATGCTTTGACAAATTCGTCCTCGATACTCCAGGGTTACACTCATTTACACTCTTTGCACCCTTTGGATATGTCATAGCAAAATTGAAGGTACAATGACAGCTTTTTGATTGGTCTCGGGTAAAACAAAACCCTGACCAATCGCCAGGCTGATACCTGTCCTATGAAGATTACAGAGGAGCGACATTCTACTTCATAGCCAGTCAATGTTTAGCTTTACTGGCCTTAATGGGATAGGGAAACGCTTTTTTGACATATGATTTAAGTCCACGTTTAATGTTACAATTAATGTTGATATAAATACCAGGTGAGCCATGCAGGCCCATTGAGCCTCTTGTTATACCGTTACGCGACCGCGAGATTCTTTTGATGTACATCAAAGAATCAAACTAGTCTCCTTGTCTCATACACAAGGTGAGTTTTCTGAGCCTTCAATTTTGCTATGACATATTCCAGGGGTGCAGAGAGCGTAATTTATGTGACAAATTATAAATTACAGTTTAAGTGTTGGTTGCAACTTAAACGTTTGTTGCTGGTCTAGAAAGACCAACTTTGCTGTTATTCCCTACTCTGTATGTGGCAGATCGAATAACGATTTTCAAATTTCCATGTGACAGTTAAATATAGGTGTGCTGGATATGTATAGCAGGTTTGGATGCTCTGTCAGCATTATAATAACTTTCAATTCTGACGTGGACGAAAAATGTAGGAAAACTATTTTACATCCTTTGGCATACAAGAGTGTATTTTAGTACTCGTACCAGCATCATTTGATGGACAGATACAGAGTTAACAAATCGATCGCCTTTTTATTTCAGTGTTCATCGTAGCGGTCGCCGGACAAATTACTAGCACATACTTTTACTGAGAAACTAGAGGCGCCGTCTGGTGATCGAAATGAAGTACAATAGTTCGCATGTCAGCAGACTACTGCAACATTTTTGCCATCTTTGAATCATCAGTGGAAAGCTGTCGATGTACGGGGAACTTTGAAATGTATCTGCAAATCAAAATATGTTTCTCGCTCATGCAATGTAAAATTAAAATTAAAATCAAAGTTTTCGCAGTCATAGAGCCAATTTTCCCATATTTATGAGGTTGGCGTCAGTAGCATGGTTAAACCATCTGGTGTTTCGGCACGTGGCTGACGTCAACTTTTTGAATATGGAAAAAGTTGCTCTATAACTGCGAAAAACTGTTCAACTCGGAAATGGTATACGTGCGTATTTGGAGGAAACGGAGAGAATGACTGCGGAAGGAGAGTACAATTTTAGTACATATGTACATATAAGAGGTTTTTAAAAGAATAGTTATCCATTTTTTCAATAGTACTAAGCAATCTTTTTTTGCACATCAACTTGAAATGTGGTCTTTGATGCAAGAAAGCTAGGCGGAGTCGATATGTCGACATCGAGAGCTGTCCTCCCTTTTTGTATACATCATCGTTGGGGTTAACTGAAAGTCGATCCAAAACCCTAAAACGTACAGAATTACTTTGAACACCTTAGTAAGGTACAAATGTATAACAAATTATCAGATCCTCGTGTCCATGAGTATGAACAATATTCCTATTCATAGCAACAGCCGTACCATCTTGTTTTTCTCCGGGAGCTCCGGCTTTCCTCCGCCACCACCAAAACCTACCACGTCCTTAAATGATAGGACGTAAAACACCAAACAAACCAAACCAAGTACCATCTGCTACTATGCTGCCTACGTTTCGGATATTAAAGTAAAGAGAGACATTTCTAGGATTATTGTGCATCTAAGCATAGACGTGGTTGGTTTCTTTTGATTGTTGCTGATCTGTTACATGTGCCTTTAGTTCGCGTATGTTCCATTTAAGTATTATTCATTTTCCCGTTTGGACAGGGTTTTGGTGGCGTTGTTGGGGTATTTGTCTCCGTATCATTGTTAAGGTCCAGTTAGAGATTTATCTCCTGGCGGAGACCATCCAATCCTTCACTTTCAGTGTAAATCATATCGAGCCTGGTGGTATGCCTTCCCTGTTTCATATTTATATTAATTTATTGTATTTCTATTTATTTATTATTTCCCCTTTGGTCTTATGTTGGCGGCACATTGGAACTTCTCACTCGTGAAACGATATCTGTTCTCCGTCATTCTTGTGAAATACATACGATATATAACGGTTAACGATTAAGTATCCTTTATTTCCGTAATAGGTGTTGAACGGTGATAGACAGACTGTAGAATGTCCTGGTGAAATTTTCAATCACCGAGGTTTACCGCAAGCTTGATTGCCGCAGTGATCTTCTCCCAGTAGTAACAGGGTGCAGGACACACACACTTTCCTTATCAATGATTTTAAATTAACAAAATCTACTATATTTTTAATTCAAATGATTTAGGGTTTTACGTAATTCTTCCGTCAGTTTCAGTAGTACAACAGTAGTTTAGACCAGTAAAGATGTTCACCTTTTGACCCCTAGCCTTATCGATGAGTCCTAGAAGAACGAAACATCGACATGGTGCGGTATTATAATCATCAAAGTTGTACAATGAAACTTAACACTTAACTACCAATAATCCGACTCACGACCACCCTTTAAAAAAATGGAACGGAGATAATCAAGGTAGTACTTTCGGCCTAAAACACTGACAGATAACGGGGAAAATCTTACATATTCTGATAAAAACTGATGTAACAAGTTACATATCTAAGTAACAATAAATATATGATTAACAGATATGAACTATAAATCTTATGAATTCTAATCCACTGTGCCGGTTTTTTCTACTCTCCAGCAGGGTTTTATCTTCAATTTCAATTTCAATAAATTTTATTGTCGAAGGACAAATGGATTGGGCAGCAGGCATAGCCTATTTAAGCCCTCTCCAAACATAGTAACAAACAGTGGTACAAGCATAGACATAGACATTAGAACACATACAAACACATATAAACAAGTTGGTATTATCAAATTAATAATCAAATTAGGGAAAACAACTAATAATACCCATTTTTATTATAATTGAATCTAATTGTTTAAAATCTAACCTTTTATTTTGATACCGAAAAGACATAATATATATATATATATATATATATATATATATACATATAATGAGGAGAAAAGAAAAATAATTTGTTGATGGAGCTGCATGTGTAAACATTTGATGGGATTAAACTACGGCACGCAACAGATACAGGCCAAAAAGTCCAATGTATCACACAAGGCCATCCACTGATGAGTTTAGGAATCCAATCCCACCAAATAGTTTAATTTATGCATATTAAACACAGGTTAGATGTATAATTAACATGTTGTAAAGCTTTATATTCTTATTTATGTAGTTGTTTCCCAATATATTGTAATAAAATAGTATAACTGGTCTTCTGAACCCCAGAAGGGTTTATATATACATATAGTATGCTTCGATAATGTACGTGCCTGACGAGAAAATATTGCTTTGAATTATGAACATGAAATAGGTCTTTGCCACAAGATATGAAGTTTTAAAATACTTGCTCTTGATATAGTTAAGTGAACACTCTTTATTGTAGTCATCATTGATCATAATACGCCCTTTACGTATACACACAGACGTCAACGTTTTTATCATTCATCTTTTTTTGATGTCGTTAGGTGAGTATACGCTTATATTTGTTGTCTGGCCCGGTATGTGTTTAAGTTTCTCAGTCGTTAAGATATACAACAGGAAACAGATTGTACCTCGTGACGTTACATACAGAACCAGTATCCGGCTGTCTATTCAAACTGTGTCGGGTGATATTAATCGGGGAGTGAATTTGCTTCAGTAAACACAAGAAACACGACAGGTCACACACTGGTAAGTTAGTCTTCAAGCATTACTTATTGTTTTCTATGTATGGTTTTCCATGTATGGTTTTCTATAGTTAAGCATTACTTATTGTTTTCTATGTATGGTTTTCCATGTATGGTTTTCTATAGTTAAGCATTACTTATTGTTTTCTATGCATACTTTAATGGTTACCGACGCGTTAGTTATACTGTATATAGTGGTAGTGGTGAGGTGTTATGCGTACAGGTAATACTTAAGTCTGAAATACTTGACTGATTCAGAAAATGAACTGTTAAGTGACTACGCCTATCTATTGACAATCAGGTGAGAGGATGCTTCACAACACATATGCGGTGAGGCGAACTAAACGTCTCCCTGTATTTTTATCCTGTGTCCTATAAACTTATCTTTCCGATACATATTCCGATGAATATTTTAGGCATAAAATACCTTTACATTTTATACGGTTGAATATTTCACGTATAAATACACAAACAGATTTTGTTTTCATTTTCCTTATTCGCACATAAACACAAACTTTGATGCAACCACCTGTGTTACATGACCCGATAACTAAGTAAAACACAGGGTATCGCTCCCTCGTTGGGGTAGAGCCACAGGAGATTGAATAGCCCGAGTTTCCTCTGGCTTACACCAGACTTGGAAATTTTGACATATATAGATGTCTTGGGTAGACATCTATGTGTCAAAATGTCTAAGTCTGGTGTTAAGTGAAGGTCTATCAAAATATAAAGCATACACATCGGGGAGACTAATTGGTAGCACAGGCCTAGGTGAGAACAGGTGACAGATGATCTGGTGTGGTGAGGCCGGGGAGACTGATTGGCAGCACAGGCCTAGGTGTGAACAGGTGACAGATGATCTGCTGTGGTGGGGCCGGGGAGACTAATTGGTAGCACAGGCCTAGGTGAGAGCAGGTGACAGCTGATCTGCTGTGGTGGGACCGGGGAGACTAATTGGTAGCACAGGCCTAGGTGAGAACAGGTGACAGATGATCTGCTGTGGTGGGGCCGGGGAGAGTAATTGGTAGCACAGGCTAGGTGAGAACAGGTGACAGATGATCTGCTGTGGTGGGGCCGGGGAGACTAATTGGTAGCACAGGCCTAGGTGAGAACAGGTGACAGATGATCTGCTGTGGTGGGGCCGGGGAGACTAATTGGTAGCACAGGCCTAGGTGAGAACAGGTGACAGATGATCTGCTG